ATAGGTCCACCCTCCTCAAGAAACCCCTAGTGCCAGCATTGTGTCACAGCAGATTAAGCCGCAGCCTGTGATGCCAGCATTCCATATGAGCACTGGTTCAAGTCCCAGCTGCTCCACTTCCCATCCAGCTCTCTGCTAATGTGTCTGGGAAAGCAACAGAGGATGACTCAAGTACTTGGGCTCTTGCCAACCATGTAGGAGACCCAGATGGATTTCTGGGCTCTTAGCTTTGGCCTGGCTGTTGTGGCCATTTGGAGAGTGAGCCAGGAGATGGGAGATATTTCTCTCTAATTCTGCCTTTCAAATAATAAATAAATAATTCTTTAAAAAAGAAAAAACACTCCCTGATCCAAAGCCTCAGCAAAACCTTTGACACACACTCTCCTCTTCATTCTCATAGCCACCCTGGCTGGATACTCTCACTAGGTCACTTGGCCTTGTAAAAGAATACGAAAAATAATATGAGCATTTTAAATGCTTAAGACTGGATGCTCAGAGTGGGTGTTGTGATACAGCAGGTTAAGCCATCACTTTTGCTGGTTTGAGTCTGGGTTGCTCTGCTTCCAATCCAGCTCCTGCTGCCAAGTACTTGGGCCATGGCCACCCCTGTGAAAGACCCGGAGTTCCTGGCTTCAGCCTAGCCCAGCCCTGCCTGCTGGGGCCATTTGGGGAGTGAACCAGCAAATGGAAGACATTCTCTGGCTCTCTCTGTCATTCTGCTTTGCAAACTAAATAAGTAAATAAATAAAAGAGACTATATTCTCCAAATACATTCATTAACAGATAAAGAACTGAATCCCAAAACAATAAAGCAACATGTTCTGGGTCAAAGAATAGCAAATCCAAAATTAAAACAAATCATTAGATTACCAATCTAGGATTTTTTAAAAATTATGTGCCTGTAGGAAAATTTAAAATACAGAAATACAGAAAGATGAAAAATATATATGCATCCTTTCTTATAAAAATTTGATTATCACATAAGCATTTTTGTGAACTGCTTTTTACATTAATATGTACACATATTTTGAACATCTTTCCACATCAATAAACTTCCTTTTTTTAAAAAAAGATTTTATTTATTTATTTGACAGGTAGAGTTACAGACAGTGAGAGAGAGGAGAGAGAAAGGTATTCCTTCCATTGGTTCACTCCCCAGATGGCTGCAACAGCTGGAGCTATGCCGATCCGAGGCCAGGAGCCAGGTGCTTCCTCTTGGTCTTCCCACATGGGTACAGCAGCCCAAGCACCTGGGCCATCCTCCACTGCCCTCCTAGGCCACAGCAGAGAGCTGGACTGGAAGAGGAGCAACCGGGACTAGAACCCGGCGCCCATATGGGATGCCAGCGCTGCAGGGGGAGGATTAACCTGCGCCATGGCGCCAGCCCCAACACATCAATATACTTCCACTTTAATACTTTTCATGTTTATTCTTCCCTGGCACCATAATTTAACCATTCCCATACTGTCCAATATTTGCTTCTAATTGAGGAAAAAAATAATCACAATTTTATGAAGTTATTGTTTAATTTTGGAATTAAAAGATTTTGCTTTTAATCACAATTTAACAGTGGTCCACTGAAGCATGGACACCTTAAATGATTTCCTGAATTTGCTTAATAAATCTTCCCTCAATAAATCTCCTTTGCCACCTCCCTATAAAACAGTTACTTATTACTTATTGAAAGCAAATATTTCTTGCCAATCAATTTCAACTTTACAGATTTACAGATATGGGGAGGTGTGTCTTATCCATCAGTGTATCAGTTCAAGAATATGGTTTCCTTAGTACAACAGATGGCAGGGAAGGAATTTGCACCACTGTGGTTCATACTGTGTTTCTGGAAAGAAGATGAGACTGACTTCAGATAGCATGTGTATTTTTTTTATTTTAATTTTAATTTTAATTTTTTGACAGGCAGAGTGGACAGTGAGAGAGAGAGACAGAGAGAAAGGTCTTCCTTTGCCATTGGTTCACCCTCCAATGGCCGCCGCGGCTTGTGCACCGCGCTGATCCGATGGCAGGAGCCAGGTGCTTTTCCTGGTCTCCCATGGGGTGCAGGGCCCAAGCACCTGGGCCATCCTCCACTGCACTCCCTGGCCACAGCAGAGAGCTGGCCTGGAAGAGGGGCAACCGGGACAGAATCCGGCGCCCTGACCGGGACTAGAACCCGGTGTGCCGGCGCCGCAAGGCGGAGGATTAGCCTAGTGAGCCGCGGCGCCGGCCCAGATAGCATGTGTATTAAGATGTCATTTAAAAAGGCAAAAAGACTTCAAAATCAATTAGTTACAAAATGTTTATTAAGCATCTATTATGTTCCAGACACATTGTTAGGCAGTGGTGATAGGCACTTTGCAAAGTAACACAATTTAATAGAGGAAACGGATATTGATCAGATAATCATCCTAATAAATTTGTAAGGACAGAGAGAAGTGCTCCAAAGCAGAAGAGCATGGTGCTGTGGGCACGCTGACCAACCAGGAGTGGAGTCAACAGTGACCTCCCCAAGGAAGTGATGCTTGAGCTGAGCTAGATAGATGAATAGGCACTGATGGAGTGGAGAAGAACATTCAGAAGTCCCAGAATTAGGAGCATGACAAACAAAGACTGAAAGAAGGCCAGTGTGGGGAATGGAGGCCAGACCATGCAGGTCCCATGCAGGCAGTGGAAAAGGAACTGATTTAGGAGGCTTTATCCTGGAAGTTGTAGGAAGACATTTAAAAGTTTTAAGCAGGGAATACCATGAAAGCCGAATGTCCCAAGGATATCTTTAATTCAACATACATGAAATCCTACTTCATTTTCCTTCTTTCATTTTTTTTTTTTAATTTGAGAAGCAGAAAGACAGTGAGAGATCTGTTATCCACAGGTTCACTCTTCAAATGGCCACATCAGCTGGGGCTGAGCCAATTTGAAGCTGGTAGCCCAGAACTCAATCTGAGTCTCCTACACGGATGGCAGGGACCCAAGTACTTGAGCTTTACCACTGCTTCCCTTGGTATATATCAGCAGAAATAGGGAATTGGATGCAGAGCCAAGACTTGAACCTGGGCATTCTGACATGGAATGCAGATATCCCACATAGCAACTCAACCACTGCACTGTCAACAATTTCCCCAAAGAAACTGAGGATATCTTCCTACCCACCCTTCAGCACCCACTTTGACCCCCATAGTGTCATCTCACCTTTCTTTAGGTACTGGCAGCGCTTCATCTGACTTCTTTGGATTCTGATATTAAGTAGCTTGAATGATGAGACTTTGATCTCCTCTTTTCTATTTCCTATGATGTGCAGTTAGTACCTTGCTCATAGTCCTGTTCAGGAAGCATTGGTTAGGATGGATTGAGGGCAAGGCTAAAGTGGGCTCTTGGCTTTACTTAGAACAAACATTCCTAATCCTCCGCCTGCGGCGCCGGCACACCGGGTTCTAGTTCCGGTCGGGGCGCCAGATTCTGTCCCGGTTGCCCCTCTTCCAGGCCAGCTCTCTGCTGTGGCCAGGGAATGCAGTGGAGGATGGCCCAGGTACTTGGGCCCTGCACCCCATGGGAGACCAGGATAAGTACCTGGCTCCTGGCTCCTGCCATCGGATCAGCGCGGTGCACCGACCGCAGTGCGCCGGCTGCGGCAGCCATTGGAGGGTGAACCAACGGCGAAGGAAGACCTTTCTCTCTGTCTCTCTCTCTCACTGTCCACTCTGCCTGTCAAAAAATAAAAAAGAAAAAAAAAAGAATAAACATTCCTCAGCTGACTCCACGGAGGCCCCTCAGGCTAGGAGGTAGCAGGCCAGCTTTGCAGTGTGCCACTTTAGGCCCTTACTTCCCAATGTACTTTGGTCCTACAGAGAAGGGCAGGGATAACATCACTGTTTAATCTGTAAAGGGTGTGGCACTTTCCTGAACAGTTCAAAAAATCAAAGCAGAAAATGTGAGTGACATTAGTGGGGCAAGCCTCAGAAGTGTGACAAGCACCTTAGAAGGTTGTTAATAGGCCAGTTGTTTATGATATACACACAAAGAGGCAGAGCTACTACTAATTGGAGCAAAAGAGTGTTTGTGACCTTGACCACATGAATAGGGGTGGTAGAGTTTCCTGACTACCTAATCCAGGAGTCCTCTAAAAACAGAGTAAATTCACTCTGACTTAAGAAGTAGGCATTGGATGAGGATTATCCCTGAGTTGGGCACAGCACTTACTAGAATAGCTTTCCTTAAGGCATAAGGCCTGAAATGTGCTGCAGGCTTGCTTTAAGCCTTGAGTCTTCTTATGGGGTAGAGGATCAACTTGTATTCTGAGGTCTCCAACTATCTCAAAATAGTCCCAGACCCCTGGCCCAAATTGGCTTCAGGACAGGCAGGAAAACAGAGATACCACTTTGCACATGTAGAGTGCTTTCCAGTTTACTAAGAACCAGTAAGCCCATTTTCTTGCATTATCCCTAGACAGCCCTGTGAAGTACTGTGGCAGATAGGCCTCATTCCATAGGTGGGAAAGCAGTCACTGGACTAGTCTGAAGGAGAACAAAGATAGGCATCTGACCTCATGGTTAAGACACTGGTTAGGGCACTCATGTCCCATATTAGAGTACCCAGTTTAATACCCAGCTGCAGCTCCTAATTCCGCTTTCCCACTAATGCAGACCATGGGAAGCAGCAGGGATGGGTCAAGTAGCTGGGTTCTGGACACCCGTGTGTGAGACCTGAATTGCATTCCTGGCTTCTGGCTTTGGCCTCTGCCTAACTTGGCTGTTGTGGGTATTTAGGGAGTGAACCAGAGGATGGGTGCTCTTTCTCTTTCTGTCTCTCTTCCTTGTAGATAGATAGATAATATAACCAAGGTCTTGTTATCCTTTAATACATGCTACTTCCACTCCACCATGCTACTGAGTCCTAGGAGAGGGAGAAATTTAATAGAATTAACACTTTGGTGAGTGGTTGAAACCAATTGACCCAACATGCTTAGCCATTGGCTGAGTCTGGGCCCTCTTCTTTTTGTCCACAGAGCCATGGGGGTGTTGATGTCTAAGAGGCAGACAGTAGAGCAGGTGCAAAAGGTGAGCCTGGCTGTGTCTGCCTTCAAGGATGGGCTGCGGGACAGACCTTCCATCCGACGCTCAGGTGAGCTGCCAGGGTCCCGCCGTGGCACTGTGGAGGGCTCCGTTCAGGAAGTACAAGAAGAGAAAGAAGCAGAGGTGGGCACCTCAGTGGTCCAAGAAGAAAGCAGTGTCAACCGTGCGGCCTGGGAGCGGCTCCGAGATGGGCGTGGAGTGGAGCCGGAGGAGTTCGACAAGACCAGTCGTTTCGTACCCCCTGCCTTCATCCGCCCCACCAGGAAGCTGGACGATGACAAGCCTCCAGATATCTCCTTAGAGCCCAGAGAGCCCGTGAGTGTCCACTTAGGGCAGGAAGCTCGATTCTTAGCCCTCTTGAGAATCAAGGAGCAGGACAGGGAGACCTGGGTATGGGTGAGGTGAGACCCAAAACCAGAAAGCTGGAGCTGAGTCTAGAACAACTGTTAAATGTGTTCCACAAGAATAAAAGTGTTGCTTACGTCCTGAATCAGTGTTAGTGGAAATTGTGGGGCAGTGAGTGAGAAGGAGCAACACTATGGCGGTCCTGGCAGCTCTTCGTCCACAGGTTCTCAACCACAGATAGTAGCGCCCCCTGTAGGGAGCATTGGGAAATCTGGGAGGGGGAAATACAGGGAGGTCACAATGACTGGATGTTGCCGTTGGCATTTGGTGCCAAGAAAACCAGGAATGCTAAATACCCTACAAAGCCTGGGACCATCTCTCATCACAGATTGTTCCTGTTTCCAAAAATGCCAATAGTATCCCTGCTCAGAAACGTGATCACAAAGCCTTGAGCAACTGGAAGGGCCTGCTGATTGTTATTCTCTGGAAAGAAAGCTCGATCACCTTAACACTGCCTTCAGATGCAGCTGTTCTCTCGGCTCCGCAGGGGAACTCAGACCCGTGCAGGTAGCTCTGTGCAGAGTGGCCCTAGGATCTTGTGCCAGCACTTAAACGTCGCTGTTTGCTCCTGCCATCTCTCCCCAGGTTGTCAACGATGAGATGTGTGATATCTGTGAGGTCTGGACGGCTGAGAGCCTCTTCCCGTGCAGAGTCTGCACCAGGGTTTTCCATGACGGTTGCCTGCGCCGCATGGGCTACATCCAAGGAGACAGCGCAGCGGAGGTGACCGAGATGGCCCACACCGAAACGGGCTGGAGCTGCCACTACTGTGTGAGCCTGGACTGCAGGGGCCAGGGGCTGCTGCACAGGGGAGGACTTGGTGCTTTTCCTGGAGGCCCAGGAATACCTGCTTCTAGGCAGTGACCCCAGGAACTTTCTAACAGTACAGACAAGTATCCTAGAGCCAGGGTGGGGTTTCCCAACCTTAGGACTATTGACATCTGGGGCAGGCTAATTGTTGTGGGGGATGGGTGCATTGTAAGGTGTTATTCAGTATCCCTGGTCTCCATTAGATGCCAATAATGCATTGCCCCCATTTGTGAAAACCAAAAATGTCTCCACTTATTACCAAATGTGCTGCTATGGTGAGGCAGGGGTTGGGGGGACAGCAAAATCCCTCTCAATTGAGAACCAGTGACTAGAGTATTGAGGGGATAGAATGAGGGTAATTCTGCTAGAGTAGTGCTTTCTCTCATAGTTTGTAGTCGTCATTTGTTGTACATACTCACCTGAACAACCAACCTGAGATCCTAACCAGTTTGCTTCCAACAGGGATAGATTCTGTCACAAGAAAACACAATCCTGACAACCTCCCTTGACTTACCACCTGACTTTTAAAAACATTTATTCTTCATCTCCATAGTGGCCATTATGTACATATCAAGGTTCTAATATTTAAAGATTTATTTATTTATTTGAAAGGTAGAGATCCAGAGAGAAGGGGAGATGAGAGAGAACTTCTTTCTGCTGGCTCACTCCCCAAGTAGCCATAACAGCCAGGGCGGGGCCAGGTCAAAGCCAGGAGCCTGGAACTCCATCCTGTTGCTTCCATGGTAGCAGAGGCCCAGGAACTTGGGCCATCCTCCACTGCTTTCCAAGGAACACTAGCAGGGAGCCAGATGGGAAGTAGAGCAGCTTAGTCTCAAACCAGCACTCGTAAGGGATGCTGGCATTGCAGGGGCAGGTTTAACCAGCTGCACCAAGATGCTGGCCCTGAGACAGGGGTCTTCTATCCCCGGGTTCACTCAAATGGCTGCAATAGCCAGGTATGGGTCAGGCCAAAACTAGAAACTCCATCCTGGTCTCCCATGTGGGTGCAAAGGCCCAAGTACTTGGGCCACCATCTAATGCTTTCTCAGGCACATTAGTAGAAAGCTGGATCAGAAGTGGACTGGCCAAGACTTGAACCATCACTCTGATAGGGGATGCTAGCATTGTAATAGGCAGCTTAACCTGACATGCCACAATGCTGTCCCCAGTAACAAAACTCTATTGATTCAGAATTTTGCAAATTATATGTTAATACCTTCCAGTTATTTTTAAAGATTTATTTTACTGGGGGCCAGTGTTGTGGTGTAATAGGTAAGGCCACTGCCTGCTCAGATTTATTTTATTTATTTGAAAGGCAGAGTCACAGAGAGAGGGAGAAAGACAAAGAGAGAAAAATCTTTCATCCGCTGGTTCACTCCCTCAGTGGTCACAATGGCCAAGGCTGGGCCAGGCCAAAGTCAGGAGCCAGAAGCTTCACTCTGGTCTCCCATGTGGGTGCAGAGGCCCAAGCACCTGAGCCATCCTCCACTTCTTTTCCCAGGCACATTAGTAGGGAGCTGGATCTGAAATTGAGCAGCCAAGACTTGAACCAGCACCCACATGGGATGCTGGTGCTGCAGGCAGTGGCTTAACCCATTGTACCAGTTTTTAAAGAAGGGTAGCATCTAAGATTTCCATTGAGAGCCAGACTCGTATCCATTGCTTACCACACATGAATGGCGTTCATGGCTTGCTTTCCTCATCTGTTGTCCTGCAATATCTTCCTTATACATTAATTTCAGAGTAAGGAACATCAGCTGATCCCCCTATTCTCACTTCCTCTTTATTTTTCTAGAAGGAAGCAGACATGTGTCACTCTCTATATATTACTGCTCCTTAAACTGAAGTTTAGGACAGCTGTTTTCAGCCACATAAATACCTTTCCCCCTGGAACGTGCCACACCAGACCCTGCTCCACAGCCAACCTCCCCCCGCACGCCAGCCTTTTCACTCACAGCCACTCTAATTTGTGTTGTGCTGCTGCCACAGGACCAGGTAGAAGGCATCTCCTTCCTGTCCCCAAGGAACACACAGCTCCCTCCCCAGTTCCTGTCACAGTCCTACCACCACTGGAGAGTTCCACTGGGCTTTGTACAAAGCCTTCTTCCAAGTTCCTCTCCTTTCTTTCCTTCTCTTCACGTTCTTAAAGAACTTTATCATCTCCCTTGGCCTCTCAACTACCTGTCATCTGACTTCTGCATCCATCATTCTGCTGAATTGGCGCTTGTATGTAATTATCATGCCCGTGACCTCTCCTCAGACATCTTCACACTCTGTCTCTCTGAAGTACTCAGCACTCCCTTAATCCCTCTTTTTATGATAGCTGGAGTATTTTTGTATTTATTATGGTTTGAGTATTTTTGTTTTTATTATGGCTTGAGTATTTTTTATTATGATTTGAGTATTTTTGGTGAGAATTGTTGTACAAGAGATGGAAATGAGAAAAAACAGAAAAAGTCCCAGCACCCCAGGGTTGCGACCATTACCTGACCACCTGCATCATGCAGCTCTCTTTGGTGTCCGAGATCCTCTTCTCTAAGCAGTGATTCCCCTCCAACCTTCTGTGAGCGTTCTTTCTCCATGCCCTTAGTTCTTGTCACAGCCCTAATGCTGGTGTTTCTCAGGGTTCCGTTGTTAACACTTTTCTCACCGTACACTCTCCTTGGGTGCTGTTATCCTACAGCCACCATCTAAACACTAATGACTCCCAAATCTGTGTGTCCAGACTTAAATTTCCTGTGTCTTGGATTTACCCATCTTGATGTCTCACAGGTACTTCACGTTCAGCATGCTCCAAAATGAACTCGTCATTCACTTAAAACTTGCCCTTCCTCTGTTCCTTATCTCTGTGAATAGTAATATCATCCCCCTGTTCCCAATGCCAGCTCATTTCTCTCACCTTTCAAATCCAGTAAGTCAACATGTTCTATTGATTCTAACTCTAATAGCCCTCATGTTTCTCCCTTCTTATGTCTTACTTCAAAAGCCTCTGTGGTGGTGTAGCAGGTTAAGCCGGCTGCTGCAACACCAGCATCCCATATGGGTGCCAGTTTGAGTCTCGCTGCTCCACTTCCAACCCAGCTCTCTGCTAATGCAATGGAGGATGGCCCAAGTACTTGGGCCCCTGCATTCATGTGGGAGACCCGGAAAAAGCTTCTGGCTCTTGGCTTTGGCCTGGCGCAGCCCCAGCCATCACATCCATTTGGGGAGTGAACTAGGGATGGAAGACCTCTTTCTCTCTTTCTGTAACTCTGCCTTTCAAATAAATAAATAAATAATAGTAATAAATCTTAAAAAAATAAAATACCCTCATCTTCTCTTACCTGCACTATGCCACAACCATCTGCTTCCCATGCCTCTAGACTTAGCCTTCTTTTTTTTTTTTTTTTCTTTTGACAGAGTGGACAGTGAGAGAAAGAGACAGAGATAAAGGTCTTCCCTTACCATTGGTTCACCCTCCAGTGGACGCTGCGGCCAGCACACTGCGGCCGGCACACCGCGCTGATCCGAAGCCAGGAGCCAGATGCTTCTCCTGGTCTCCCATGCGGGTGCAGGGCCCAAGGATTTGGGCCATCCTCAACTTAGCCTTCTAACCCATTTTCCAACTAGCAGAGATCTGACCATTGAACCCCTCCCCCATGCATACACTTAAAAGTCCTTCAGTAACCTCTTTTTACCTTCAGAATAAAGGCCTACCTTGCAGGACTCAACAAAGGGCATTGGAGGTACTTCATAGGCTGCCTTGGTTCCCTTTATCATGACACATTCACCCATCCCATACACTCAGCCATACTGAACTCTTGGAATTTTACATACACACCATTGTGGTGCCCAGTATGTGCTGTGTTTACTGAAAGAATAGCTTGAGGCCAGCACTGTGGCTCACTGGGCTAATCCTCTGTCTGCAGCACTGGCACTCCAGGTTCTAGTCCTGGTTGGGGCGCCGGATTCTGTCCCGGTTGCTCCTCTTCCAGTCCAGCTCTCTGCTGTGGCCCAGGAGTGCCGTGGAGGATGGCCCAAGTGCTTGGGCCCTGCACCCACATGGGAGACCAGGAGGAAGCACCTGGCTCCTGGCTTCAGATTGGCGCAGCGCGCCGGCCACAGTGCACTGGCCATAGCAGCCATTGGGGGGTGAACCAACGGAAAAAGGAAGACCTTTCTCTCTCTTTCTCTCTCTCTGTCCACTCTGCCTGTAAAAAAATTTTAAAAATTAAAAAAAGAATAGCTTGAATTCTTTATGAAATTCACAAATGAATACTCATGAAATATCTGCTTCTGTTCTTTAATAATATTTTAGGGGGAAAAGCTAGCCTGCTAGAGAAAGAATCTTTGATAGTTTAAGGACTGCATAGTAATTTTAACAAATTATCGGTGCTCAGTTTGAATTAAAACTTATATGGCACCATAAAAAAATCATTTGGCAGGGAAAGCATGTGGTTTGGCAGTTAAGATATCAGTTGGCACTGCAGAGGAAGGCTCGCTGGGATTTCCTGGCCACACCCTCACAGCCTTCTTCAGATCTAAGCCTCTGACAACCTCAGCTCTCCACCCCGTGGCCCGTCCCTTCAGATCTTTTCAGGACACCAGCTCTCTCAGTTGCTAGAGTTCCACAGATCAGTAGCAAGTACTGGGGTAAGATTGAGGGAGGGAGATAGCAGGAGCCTGTCCCTCTGTGTGACAGGTGGAGGGTTTGTATGTGTGCTATGGGAACAAACACAGAATAATGTCAAGGTCTGGTCTGGGTTGGGCAGGGTGGCCTGTAGTCCTGCCCTACAGTGTGGGTCATAACTCATAACCCAAATGTATGTTCCAAGGTCTTGGGATGGTGGCTTAATAACACAACTTTGGATATAACAACCCACACCACTCACCTGGGAGTCCAAGATTTAGCTCTGCCTCCTGGCTTTGGCCTTCTGGTTGTAATGGGCATTTGGGGGCTGAACCAACAGATGTGAGGTCTATGGAAACAAAACTTAAAAAAAAAAATAAAGTCAGTTGGGACACCTGCATCCCATATTGTGGTGCCTGGGTTTGAGTTCCTCCTCCACTCCTGATTCCGGCTTCCTGCTGACACACACCCTGGACGCAGGAGGTAGTAGTTGGGTCCCTGCAATCCCTGTGGAGGACCTGAATTGAATTTCTGTCTCCCAGCTTCCACCCGGCCCAGCCCTGGCCACTGCAGGGCTTCAGTGAATGAATCTGTGAATGGAGATTGATCTCTCTGCCCAACCCTCCCCTAATTAATAAATACAATTTTTAAAAACTCGCTTGATTTTAAGAAGTTTGTCATGATGACATCTCTTTCAAGCCATGCTGGAGTTATTTGAAGTGATACAGCCCACTAGGAGCAGAGCTAGAATTTTGCTTCTAACTAAAATGCTCTTTGAACACAGCCTAACACAGAAGCCAGGTGTACAACATGGGTAGAGAGGGAGCTGCTCTGGTGGATGGAGATGGGGGTTCACAACCCTGCCCAGCCCGGCCCCCTTATCCCTTAAAGCAGCCTCCAGGAAACACCTAGGTTGGCTCAGAGGATACTGTGAAAGCCTGTGTTTTAGCAGAAGGGATTCAGCTGGGCTCAGGTCGTCTGGGTTCTGGGGAAGACTCTGCCCCGGAGTTATGGCAGCTGAGCAAGGCATTTCCCCTTTCTGGGGCCCCCGAGAATTCGATGAGCTTGGAATTGCCTTCCAGTGGAAATACTGTGCATTCCCACCCGTGTTGGCCCTTTGCCTTCTGTCTTCCTGGTCTGAGGGCCACTGACTCAGATCTTCCCTTTCTCAGGACAACCTCAACCTGCTGCTCACTGAGGAGGAGATGTACAGCCTCACGGAGACCTTCCAGCAGTGTAAAGTCATCCCTGGTAAGGCAGGATGGCGCAGCCAGAGTGGAGAGGACCAGGCACAGTGCTCCTTCACGGCTTCTGGGATGAACCTTGAGAGCAGGATCTGAGAGTTGGGGTGGGGAGTGGGTCCTTGTTCCCAAGTTGCTGGCCAGCGGAGGCCCTCACTGCCCCCAGCACAGCCTGAGTCACCCTGGCTCGGGAGGCAGAGATTAGCCAAGAGCTGTGGCTGTGGGGCACCAAGGGTGCACTGGAGGTAGGCAAATTCCCCAAAACTGAGGGAGGGTGGGCATGGCCAGCAACGGGTGCTTCCCACAGATTGTTCCCTGACGCTGGAGGACTTCCTGCGCTTCCGTCACCAAGCAGCAAAGCGGGGGGACAGTGACAGGGCCTTGAGCGAGGAGCAAGAAGAGCAGGCGGCCCGCCAGTTTGCAGCCCTGGACCCGGAGCATCGAGGCCACATAGAGTGGCCCGACTTCCTGTCCCACGAGTCCCTCCTGCTTCTGCAGCACTTGCGTCCTCAGGTAGGCCAGCAGGATGGAATGCCCACGAAATACTGGGTGACAGAGGCCTGGGAAGCGTGCCGGCAGGCTGGGAGAGCACTGAGTATCGTCCGAGCAGGGGCCGGTGCCAGGATTGGGTTCAGGTTCTGTATGGTGCCGGGGGACCCAGGGCCAAGGCTAGGGAAGCTGCTCAAGGAAGAGCGATTGGCACTGGGCCCCCTGTGCTACCAGGAGGGCTCTGGGCGACTTCCCAGGGAGGTGGGCAAGGCGATGACAGAGGTGGACTTCTCCGTCGCTCGGCAGCTTACGTTTTCACCTCCGAGGTCTTAACTTGTCTCTTTTCCCCAGAATTCTCTTCTGAGGCTTCTGACAAGCAAGGAGCGGGAACGAGCCCGAGCCACCTTCCTGGCCCGGGGCAGCGGGGGCGCCATCAGTGAGGCAGAGTGCCGCCACGCCCAGCACTCTTGGTTCTGCAAACGCCTCACGCCAGCTGCTTCCTGCAGCGTCAGGTCCGCTCTTCACCAGTCCCTACCCTGCCTCGACTCCCCCCCCCTTTGTCAACACCGGTGGCCACTGGTATGAAAGGTGCCTCCCAGCCCCTCCTGCTAACAGCACGGAAGGATCCTTCTGTGTAGGAGGCAGAGTTCAGTGAATCGTATTGGCCAGGACACAGAGCAGACTGTCCATGTCAGAAAAGCCTGGATGAAGCCGGCGCCGTGGCTCACTAGGCTAATCCTCCGCCTTGCGGCGCCGGCACACCGGGTTCTAGTCCCGGTCGGGGCACCGGATTCTGTCCCGGTTGCCCCTCTTCCAGGCCAGCTCTCTGCTGTGGCCAGGGAGTGTAGTGGAGGATGGCCCAAGTACTTGGGCTCTGCACCCCATGGGAGACTAGGATAAGTACCTAGCTCCTGCCATGGGATCAGCGCGTGCGCCGGCCGCAGCACACCAGCCACGGCGGCCATTGTGGGGTGAACCAACGGCAAAAAGGAAGACCTTTCTCTCTGTCTCTCTTTCACTGTCCACTCTGCCTGTAAAAAAAAAAAAAAAAAAAAAAAGAAAGAAAGAAAGAAAAGAAAAAAAAAAAGAAAAGAAAAGCCTGGATGCTGCATGTGTGTATCCAGGAGCCATGGGTTCACCAGAATTTGGACAGGTTAGGCCTTTCACTACCCTATTCCTAACCAAATGTCCTTGTGCCCAGCAGTGTCAGCCATGTGGGTCCCATTGCAGACAGCAGCCCCGCCAGCAGCAGTGGCAAGAGTCAAGACAAGGTCCTGCTGCCCCCAGAACAGGAGTCCAGGTGAGTGGGACCTCCTCACCTGACCATCTACTCCGGGCCCCTGAACACATACATACTTAAGAGAAGGCATTACCCACTGCCACCCCAAAACAGCAAGTGCTTATCCCAGGATCCAGGCTCCAAAAGTACCCAGTTGGCCCTAGATCTCTGGGGCCAGCCAGCTGCTCTGTTGACCTGGTGCACAGCCAGCCGTGCCCATGTCAAGCATGACCCAAGGCTTCCATGAGTTTTGATTAGCCAAACCTGCTGCCGCTGGGGTCCTGTGTCATGAGCCTTTGGGCTATGTAGCCAGCCTCACGAACCTGTTCTTACTTCTACTCCAGATACGTGGACTGGCCCACCTTCCTGCGAGAGAGTGCCATCTACATCTTGGCTGCCCGCCCCAACAGTGCAGCCATTCATCTGAAACCCCCAGGATAGCATGGAGTCGAGAAGCTCACTTCGGGGACAGTGGCGTCCCCTCCCTCCTTTCCTTTTTCCCATTCCCCTACCAACCTCTGGCGCTGATACTCTCACGGTGATGGGGTACTGCCAGCCTCTTAATTTGTTGTCACTAAGCTTTATGGCACCAACACGTATGGCACCATTCGCCTCCCAGCAGAGGCAGTAAGTGCATTGCCACAGGAGAAGCCCTGGGAGCTGTGGCACTAGCTGCCCCGGACCGCCCCTCTGCCGTCACATCACAGCCTGGACCTGCCACCACATGCACAGATGCGTGCACACACATGCGCATATACACTTGCCTAGCTCGCCACGACTGCAGAAGCCTTGTTCTTTTTGGTTGAATAAGGACCAAAGTCCCTTTGTGAAGCCCCTGCTGTAAATGAGGGGGCTCTCTGCTCAGCCCTTCTATCGCCCAGTTCTGATTTCCAGTAGATAGGTCTCTGGCCAAGTGATTCTTAATACATGCCCTCCCGGAGATGCTGACAGGCCCCTCCCCCAGTGACAGCCCCTTCTGTGGTGAGCCACTGTTCCTAGTAGGTGTGTACCCTGGGCCCTCCAGTGTCGGGGAGGAGGAAGATCGGAAAAGCGCCGCTGCAGTTCAACCCTTTATTTAAATTCCAACTCCTGGAACTTTAAACAGACAAGACTACTAGTCTGTTGGAATCCTGATGGAAAAGGGGGGAGGCAGCCCCTCCCAGAGACTCAGAACTCTTTCAGCCAGGTCGTCCACACCCAGAAGTCAGCGGAACAGTCAATCAAAGGCGAGCCTTTCGGCTCCCATTGTCCAAGTGCTAGCTTCTGGCCTAGAGCCCAAGGAGCTTGAAGACCAGATAGGTTCACTGGCAGGAGTCACAGCTGCACTCAGGTCAGCTACCACAGATGCCAACAAGGACCAGATCTGGACGGGAGAGGAGAGGCGAGGGCTCCTGCTTTGCCATCATTCCATCTCAGCCCAGCCACACGCCTAGAAAAGTGTGTGGAGAGCAGGGCCATCCTCTTCCACAGCTCCAGAAAGAGCAGTCCTGCGAAGCCCTGGCCAGGGACTCTGTTCAGCCGTCCTGACGGCGAGGACGAGTGGCTGGGACAGAAGAGGATTTGCATTTCCGCTCTCGCAGGCAGAGAAGGTCCCAGTGGAGCCCCGCGGAAAGGGTCCACTCCCCGTCATGGAGACGCCTGAGTTTCTGCTCCTCCCTGCTGCTCACTCGTGTCCTCCCCCACCAGGCAAGTGCCTGGGCCTGGCTTGGGAAGGCTTCGAGATGAGCAGAAGCTGCCACCGGGGCACCAATCCTGGCCTCCAGGCACCGGCCTCTGTCCTCAGCACTCAAGTTCTCGGGTCATTGTGTGTTGTGGGTCAGCCCTGCCTCTGAGGTTCAGGTTCTAGATTTTGGTTTCTAATCTGATGACTTGGGTGCAGCCAGATCTGACCACCAAGAGTTATTCAAGAGGGAGCTGAACTCAGTCATGCAGAAGCTGATAGATCTGTCTACATGGCTCAAGGCGTTGTACTAAATTGGGTACTTCCGGTGTTGAGATGCCCAGAGGAAAGTAAGGAGCTGCAAACAGGGGCTTGGGAAGAGCCCTGTAGAGTCGCCTCTTTTCGGAACTGCCTGACCCAGAAGCAGAGTGATAAGCTCCTGGGCTTGGATTGTTTAGGACTGAAATGAAGCGGACAGTTGACAAATCTGTGTTCTTAATGTGGCCCCAAACGTTTCATAATCCACAGCCTTTTGTAAATAGTCCTCAGCCATACTTGCAGGACTTATCAGTGGGAGGGGTGGTTATTCAGTCTAGAGGAAAAGGAAGGAACGCATGGCTCAGAGGCTAACGCAGCCAGCCCTTGGTTTTGCTGAGAATGGTGAAACACATGAAAACACGCGGGCTTCTGCTTACTGTCCCAGTGAGTGGGCTCCCCAGCGGTGCCCTCATGCTGCTTGGTGTCGTGGACAGGCCATTCTGAATGGACACAAACTGAACTTCGAGAGCTGAGCAGCTTTTTGCTTCCCCCGCCTCCTCAGTCCCAGGGTCTTGAAGTGCATCTTCTTGGTCCCTGACCCTCTACAGAAAAGGCGAGGCCTTCCCCTGGAGCTGCTGCTTCCAGATCCCTGTGGTGAGAGCCCGTGGGTCAGATCAGGCTGCTGGGGCCCCGGGCCTGGCAAGACAGACCCTGGGGCCCTTCCACAACGCGAGCAGGGCCATGTGGGATCCTCTCCCTGTTCCAGGACAGCAAACTCCCCACAGCGGGGCTACTGCAGAGCACCCACGGACACCAACCTGAGGAAGATGGGGTCCCAGCCCAGAGAGTGCGGCGAAGCGGAAAAGCACGAGCAGCAGCTGCCAGGCACCTGGCCGTCACCTAAGGGGGTCCCGCTGCTCCCCCGGCCCAGGCCTCCTGTGCAGCACCTCCCTCTGCAGTGCCCTCGTCCCTGGAGTCCCTGCATTACGTGAGGCTGCTCAGACGTCTGCTAACCTGTGAAGCCAATTTCCTTCCCTTCTGAAGCCCTTTTATCACTGTGAATGTCTGAAATTCTGCCAAGGACAAAAATTAGTGTTTGGCTCTAAGAAGGCTGTGAGAGGATGTTTCAGTCTTGTCTCGGCTGCCCAAAGTTCAGATCAGTGCTTTTCCCAAGCACCACCCACCCCCAGCCAAGGGGGCCTTGGGTTCTGTGTGCTCCCTGAAGACCCCTCGCTCGAAGCCTGTTTTTCACCCAGCCGTCCTCTTCCCCTTGCTCAGATTGAAATAAAGGGAGAGGTGGCGGGCCCGGCAGAGCTGCAGGCACAGAGGGTGAGCTGAGGGAGTGGCTGGAGCCAAGTAACCTCTCCAGGTCTGCCTGGCTTCCAGGGCCAGCCTTCCCCTACAGGACATTTGAGTATCCCAGGGATGGAGCTGTTTCGTCCCTAGGTACTGATCCAACTCTCAAGTGCTCTTCCTTTGAGGACGGCTGCAGCAGAAGCCATGAGTACATTGCCTCTTTCTACCCTCAGCCCAAGCGATGCGGGATGGCAGGGCAGACACTCTTTTCTGGCCCTGGTGCACCCTATGGGATGTCACCCTGGCCTTGTTTAAGTGGCCAAGTCGTGGGGTTCCCCCATTCCTATCACCAGTATAAAAAGCACAGAATCAAACCACCTGGGAAGAGGGCACCGCATTGGGAGGTGAGCCCAGGCCTCTGCCCAGACCTCTTAGCCCAAAGCACAACTTTGGCCATTTCACGTTGCAAAGCTTCAGTAAGAGTAATGACAGGAAACCCTAAAGCCATGAGGGCAGCTCAGCAGACGCTGCTTGGCAGGGCTTCAAGCCAGCCGTGTCCACCCCAGAGCCAAGAATAACCTCCAGGCAGCACCAAGAACTGTAACAGGCTCTAGCAGTCCTGCAGCCGTGACCCCTGCAAACCAGCAGAGGAGTGGCAGAAAACATTCGGCACTAACAAGACAACTTCGATGCCAGAATTTCAGGACATCGTGGTGGCACCTGTAGCCGTTGTCCCTTTCTCCGCCCACCTACCCTGTGTCCAGTGGAATGAAGTTGCTACGCTCTTCATGCCACTTAGTTTGGGCCCATCCAAGGTACATCTCAGTTCTGGCTGCTTCCCAGACAATAGATTTACTAGGGGGGAGGAGGACATTGGTGTATCCTGCTTGTTCCTGACAGCTCAGCCCTGGAGTGGGGTGGGACTGGGCATCTTCCCTGCTGTTTCCCTGCTGCCACTATGTTGGACCACCTTGAAAGGAAAAAACAAAACAGGTTCTAGAGTTTCTACTAGGCCCAGCAAGCACCAAGGAAGATTTCCCTCTGGGCCACATGCCCCTGTGGTGACAGTATGGAGTCAGCTGGTCTGGGCCAGTGATTGAGAAGCCCAGGCGCATCCCAGTTTGCGTAGCACTGGGGCTGACATAACCACGGATGAGAACAAGGTACAAGCAGCAAGGCTTTTCCATGTCCATGATGAAACGACGACCTTCAAGCTTAGTCTCTGGCCCTGAGAGGATGGCGTACGCTCTGTGTCCCAGCCAAACGCGGGCTGGGCTCTGGTTACCTCTGAGTAACAATGGAGGAGCCAAGGTCCTCTGTCCCCCGTGCTCTTCCTCTGTGCTCTTGCAGAAGGTCCCTTGACGGTGCGCTGAGGGGAGCACCCCCAAGGCCTGCCCTCCGTCCCTGCAGCTGCATGCTCTTCCCTGTGGCTCGGCCTCCACAGGCTCTCCAGAAAGAGCTGATGCCCCCAGAGGCTGGGCGCAGTGGACATCATAATAAAGAGATTGTCATGCTGTGTCGCTTGTCTGTTTCCTGTTTGGGGGACTTGCCTTTTCCGTGTGGTTTCCCATCGACCAGTTCCTGAATTTAGGGGCAGCTGTGGCCTCCATAGTGTACCCCATGTGGCTCTTTAGAGCTTTCTGGGCCTGCTCTCCCCAGAAATCAAGTGACAGGTGAGGGTAGAGCACCACAGATTGAGAGATGCAGGGGTCTCCGTGTATGCCACAGATACAGCAGGCAATGGCCAGAGGCAGGGGCAGCAGGTAGAAGCAGTGAGGAGAGGAGCCAGAGCTTTGGATGAGCTATGAAATAGGGAAGCCAGTGATTGTTTTCTCCTGGTCTGGGTCCTTCCTGGTCTGCGAGCTCCCCACCACTACCACCGCCATTTTGACAAATTGTTTGAGTGCAGTAGACTAGGGTTGGAGGAGCATTTGGAGGACCATGGCAGCCTCATTCATCCCTCCTATTTGGTGAGAACAGAGCCAGGACCTGTAGTGGGAACGTATCTACGCTGCAGATTAGCTGCGGATGCTCTACCTCCCAAACCACAGAGGGGCCAGGTACGAGTGATTAATGATTTGGGGCACTAACCATGTGCTGGGAAGTTCCAAGTGTTTAGCACAGAGTAATTAATCTTCAACCCTATGAGATTTGTATTGCAGATGAAAAAAAAGGAGGAACAGGGAGACTAAGTTTCTCAAGGGCACAGTCATACAGCTCAGAAGTGGGGGAGCCACACAGTCCGCGTTCATTGCCCATGTTCTCAGCCTCTCAAATACCTCAGGGGAGCCGCTGCTATGTGGTCTAGCACCTCCCTTTTCTACCTCTGGGAAAAGACCTGTAGCTGCGTCAGATTTCTAACACCTGCATGGACCACCCTGCTCACTCTGGGTGCCCATAGCTCGCTGTCCTGGAGTTTTCCAATGGGGATCCACCAGCCGTTTTTGTCCCCAGACTCAGAGAAGGTGAGCATTGGAACAGAAAAAGAGGCATAAAGGCCGAGTCTCTGAACCCTCTGATGAGCAAGTTTCCCCCACGCGGGCCAGCTGGACCTTCAGACCCTCCCGTGCTGTTCCTCCCACGAGCTGCCAGTTACTAACAGAGGTGGCTGGCACCTCGGTTTCACAAAAGCCTCCACCCACTCCACTCAGTCCTGCTCTGGCTCAAGTGCACTCCCTCTTTGTCCCTGGGAAAAGTCATATCCCAAAGGGAGCCAGTGGCTGCTAAATCACCGAATATGAGTTAATTTTGGTTCTCTCTTCCACCTGACCCTTTCCAAGGGTTGCTTGAAGTCTGACCTTGCTTGAACTTGTTTCCTAATTTGTAAAAAACTGGGGAGAGGGGAGTCTCTGCTCTGTCTGCCTCCTGGGCTGGTACTTGAGTGAGTACAGAATGAATTTGGTAAGAGGAGAGGATTGTATACATTGTACAGTAATGAGTAAGCAATAAGGATTCCCACTCCGTTTGAAGGCTGCAAAGATAGCACCTCCCACCCTCCCGCGGCTGGGGGCACCGCATGGTGGCCTCTGTCCACAGTGCTGAAATCACAGCCAAGGCGGCTGAGAACGTTCAGTCTTTATTTGTCCCACCCTTACGGAAACACCAAATGCAGAGATTTCAAAGGCTAAATCTCAGCATTGCCAAACTGTTCACTTCATTTATTTTACACACACACACACACACACACACACACACACACACACACACCACTCCTTTCAGAATCATAACAGTTACAAAAAGGCAAGGGGTGAGTTAGCAAGTCAAGGAAAAGAACGTTGTGATCGTACCTTGGTATGGGTGAACTCTATGAAGTGGCTACCAAAAACAAATCAGTGTAGTCTCAGGTTATATAGAAGTTCGGAGTCAGAGAAGTGAGGCAGGCTGGCTCCTTTATGCTTTTGGTTGTAAGATTTATTTATTTATTTGACAGGCAGAATTACAGATTGAGAGAGAGAGAGAGATCTTCCATTTGCTGGTTCACTCCCCCAAATGACCAAAATGACTGGCTGGGCCAGGCTGAAGCCAGGAGCCCGGAGCTTCTTCCAGGTCTCCCAAGCACTCGGGCCATCTTCTGCTGCTTTCCCAGGTGCATTAGTAGGTAGCTGGGTAGGAAATGGAGCAGCCAGGTCTGAAATTGGTGCCCATAAGGGATGCCAGCATCACCGGTACCGGCTTTACCCACTATGCTGTAATGCCGGCCTCAGGCTGGCTCCTTTGTGCACACCTGCACATATGGAAAGAGTTAAAGAGACCCAAGCACCACAAACTGAAACCCAGCCAAGAGAACACAGTCTTAGTGATGGAGCTGAACAAGGCAGGAATCCCTGAAGGCCTGAGTCTTGAGGGACACAGATGGCCAGCGTGGCAGATGAAGTTGATGCGTTCTCAAGAACACAGCTAAGACAAAACATGGACACCATTGGACAGCAGCTTCCTGCTCTATAGGAACACAGATAACTGGCCACCGGGGAAGGCAGTAACGCTGTATGAGCAAACGTGACAGAAATGTTGTGTTGGAGGTAGGATATCTCACCAGGTATCCAGCCCTCTGGAGACCTGAGATGCCAGTAAACACTTGAGCACTTTCTGATGCGTATGCTTGCCACTGAGTCCAGAGGAGCCATAACTTTAAGGAACCACACGAGCCCACGATATTTTGGCACAAAAAATTGGAGAACTTTTAGTTTCTATAGTTCACAGGTAGGGTTCTTGGAAGCCTGCCGCCAGAATCTGATGTTGTGCGCCCTCTGCTGGCCATTATAGCACTGCTCTCTCACTGCTATGTAAGAAATAATCAGCAGCGGTTCAGAACACAGCCAGTGCTCACAGAGGTGGGGAACCTTTTTTCTGTCCAGGACCATTTGGATGTTTATAATGTCATTCACAGGCCATAAAAAATCATCAACTTAAAATTGAGCCTGTTGGGGCTGGCGCTGTGGTGCAGCGAGTTAAAGCCCCAGCCTGCAGTGCTGGCATCCCATATGGGGACCAGATCAAGTCCTGGCTACTCCACCTCCAATCCAGCTCTCTGCTAATGTGCCTGAGAAAGCAGCAGAGGATGTCCCAAGTCCTTGGGCCCCTGCACCCATATAGGAGACCTGGAGGAAGCTCCTGGCTTGGGATCAGCTCAGCTCTGGCCATTGCAGCCATTTGGGGAGTGAACCAGCAGATAGAAGACCTCTCTGTCTCTCCCTTTCTCTGTAACTCTGACTCTCAAATAAATAAATCTTTAGAAGAAGAAGAAGAAGAAGAAGAAGAAGAAGAAGAAGAAGAAGAAGAAGGCGGCTGGCGCCAAGGCACAGCAGGTTAAAGCCCTGGCCTGAAGCGCTGGCATCCCATATGGGTGCCGGTTCTAGTCCCGGCTGCTCCTCTTCCTATCCAGCTCTCTGCTATGGCCTGGAATAGCAGTAGACGATGGCTCAAGTGCTTGGGCCCCTGCACCCACGTGGGGGACCCAGAAGAAGCTTCTGGCTTCGGATCGGCAAAGCTCTGGCCGTTGCGGCCATCTGGGGAGTGAACCAGCAGATGGAAGACCCCTCTCTGTGTCTCCACCTCTCTCTGTAACTCTATATTTCAAATAAATAAAATAAATAAATCTTTAAAAAGAACTGAATCTGGGATCAAGATTAGAGCTCAGGCATGTCTGGGGCGCCGGACCCGGGGAACTGTCCTTGCAGCGCTACAGCGTCGGGCTGAGGCCAAGGCTGGGATTCAGCACAGGACCGCGGTCCGTGCTCGGGGCAGCCTGCAGTGTGCCTGAGGGGAGAGGCGACAGCCCAGCCACAGGAACGAGTCAGCCTGCATCCAAGGGGCCAGGCCCGGAGCACCTGCTCACTGAAGAACTCCAGCAGGGATGTTTCCTGGGAGAGATGCCTGACGGGTGGAGGACAAGTGTCACTAAGTTCTTGGGGCCTGCGGACTTTAAAAATGAAAAGAGGCAGGCGGAGGAACCCCTTTTGTCCCAGGGCAGATCCAGCTTCCTGTCAACCCCAGCCCAGCCCAGTGCCACCACATACCACCACCCGTACAGTCTGGGGAGAGGACAGCCCCAAGGGCCAGCCCTGTCCTTGCAGCGAGCTGGCAGCTGTGGGGGCAGTCTTCCCTCCCCCCAGGATTCTCTGTTTCTATTGGCAACAGGGCCTGGCAGCCTCCCACACCCAGCTCTTAGCAACCATGGAGCCCCTAGCAACTGCTGCCATGGTGACAAGACAGAGAACTGAGAAGAGGCTGGGGGCACTTCCTCTCAAGCCTTCGGCTGTGTGCAAAATTGGGGGCTCTCCCTCCCATACACAGTCTGGGAGGGAAAAGTGCTCCTGTCTAAACACCTCCTCACTGGCACCCACCTCGCCTCGGCCCACAGGTTCCGGTTCCCTCGGGGTGAGGAAATGAGGGACACCTAGAGCTGTGACGTCTCCATGGGAGGGAGGGAGCGAGGGAGCGAGGGTGTTTGGAGCTGACATGATCACAGATGTGAGCAGACACAGTGTCAGCGTGTCCACAGCCCCTCACTGCAGCCACTCTTCACCACGCGGACACATGCCCCTGGTCATCTGGTCATATGCATTCCTGCCACCAAATCACATATAAATGCAAATAACACAGAATGGAGCGCACAAAAATAACTATGCAGCTAGGCTCCCACTCACAAATCCCGGCACCAATACACCAGGGCAAACATCGCCCAGGCTCCACAGCACAGACGCACTTGCAGACGCAGACATCTGGGAAGGGCCAGGGCGGTGGTTCCTGTGGCCGAGCGCTCACTACAAGCCACACTCAGAACTGCATGTGTGACGTGTGTCAACCTCAACTCACTCACACAGCAACCAGGAAGCAGTGCTGCGGCTCGTCCCCATTTACAAGGTGCATGTGCCAAGGAGCCTCCCAGGAGACGGCCTGACTCCAGGGCCACACTGTTACAGTGCACCCGGCTTCCCCCACAGCCCAGCTCTAACACACACACACACTCACACACACACTCACTCACTCACGCCCCGGATGCCCAGGGCAGCGGGA